TGCCCTGGAGAGGAGGGTTTCAATAATCAGAGCCCGCACCCCACCGAAAATACTTGCCCCTCAATGTCGGCCTCACCGTGAGGTCCCTGTTCAGGGCGCCACCCGTACCTGAGGCAAAACACTGCGTCCTCACGGTCGAAAGGCCCCGGCTTGTGAAAAAGATGGTGCCACCCGGCCATGAAGTCGGGGTCGTCTGGCGAGCCGTGGATCTCGCCGAAATGGCCCGTTATGTGCCGCTTGTAAAGGGCAAAAACCTCGCTGCGGGGTGGGTCACTTCTAGGTCGGAGGTTTCAGCGGTTCACGAACCTCGAGCGCAGGTTTGGTGAGGATAGGCAGTCCGCCAGGTCCAATCCGCTGGCTTGCTTACGAATGCGTCCGGCTCGCATTCTGAGCCGTGCTTTCTCTCTCTCCGCCTGCGCGTTCCTCGCCCGGTAGCGCGCTTGCGCTTCGGCGCGAGCGTTGGGGCGCGTCTCACCGGGGGGGGCGCACGCCCGGAATGCAGTGAAAAATCCTGCGCCGTGGCTTGTCGACCCACCATCCGCGTCCGGCATTGGTACGTCGGCCAGTGTCGCCTGGAATGTGAATTGGGATGAAGCGAAGTCCATTGGGCGTTGTGACGCTGGTGATTGCTTTACGATTGCAACATGGAAAAGAATGGTTGCTCCAGGATTCGAACCTGGGACCTCCTGCTGACTTCGCCGGTGTCATTAACCACTAGACTAAGCGACCGTTCCCAGAGATGATCATTCCCATTGCACACCCTAGCGCGTTGGGGAGTCTCACAGCGTGGTGGCCCGGCCGCGGCTCATTATGTACTTACTGACATGTACAGGACGGCGCAAAACACGCCTCAATCCACTTTGTGACACCGACCATGTCTGCCTCCTACTGGGCCAGCTACCATCGCTCGCGCGCCGCCGCCAAGGCCCGTGCTGACCCCAACTACTTCAACTACAACGACCTCGGTGCGCTCCAAGCGCAGCCCCCAATCTACACCTTTGTTCCCCAGCATGCCGCGCCCGTCGTCACGATTGTACAGAACGACGGATCGCTAGTCACCCACCCTCCGCGCGGGCCACGCCACGGGCCTTCGAAAAAGACCATATCGCACGACCCAGCAACACTAGGCCTCAAATCCCACCGCCGGCACTGCGCCGCCATTGCTGCCCGTGCCCGGGCTCGCCTTGAGCTGCGCCCAGACCCGGACACCCTCCTCCTTGCACGACTCGCACAGTGTCCCACCCTCAAGGCTGCGCGCGAAGGGAAGAGCGGCAGTCACACAGGTTGCACAGCGTCCCAATCCACCGGTCGGTCCTTTGATTTTGTGCCCAGCGTCCACCCTCGTCTGACTTAGTCCAGCTGCTGCGGCCAAAGGGCACGAAGTGGGAAAATAGGCGCCCCAGGCGAGGGTCGCACGGTGTTTTGTGGTTGTAGATAATTCCATAACACCTTGTAATGCGCCATGCTCAACCTACGTGCTCATCTTTCTGAAAGAGAGGATTCCAGTGGGCAGCCTTGGGGCAGCCCCCAATGCAGAAAGGTCGTGCGTGGCTTGCACTGAAACGGGCCCATTCGTGGTAATTACGAGCAGCTCCGAATGCAGAAAGTTCGTGCGTGTGGCTGAGCCCAGGTTTTGCAGGCGGCAGTGCCCCGGACCAAATTGGGAAGTTCGTGGCCTGCACTGGAACGGGCCCGTTCGTGATAATTCCCTAATTGGGCGTAAATGGGCCCCCGGCGCGTCTCTCCAAAACCACACTCGGAGCGCGACTGCCTTGCTCGGATGGTACGGAATCGATTGCTGTGGTATCTAAGTCCATTATTGAAAGTGGTTACCCTTGCCAGCCTTGTGCCTACACAGTAACACCGCCATGAAAGCTGGATGGCCCCCATGAATACAGGGTCTCGCACGCACTCCTCTGGCTGGCACTTGGTGGACCAGCACAGGTCTTCTATCAATGTATCAAAATATCTTCGTCGCGTTTGGAGGGTGTCTCTTTCTAATTGCATGCATTATAAAATACCAAACTTTAATGGATAGCGCCCCGGCAGCGACGCCCACTCTGAAAGGCTCAAGATATTCGAGATGTTTTGCGGCCCTAAAGTTACATACCCACTCCGGTGTACCGTTGCAAAAATTGGGCCAATTCTGAGCCGCAATGTTGGCGAACAACTTTTCGCAGTTGAGGCCCCACCACTAACATAGCGTCGTACATCCGCGGAAGGCCTTTCAATGCATCGACGGGATTTTTTTCCCCCTTCGGTCCTCTACATCCCGACTACCCAACCGATCGCTCAAAACCCCCCCGCGGGCCGTGAAACCACCCCACGTCGGGCTGCCATGGTCAGGGTTGGCGAGTCAATGGACGCAAGGTTTGGGCCCCTTTCCAGCCCGCAGGCCAGCCAAGAGCCTGGGTTGGCATGTTCACACGGCACCTGGCTCCTACCCTCCCCGTTAAGAAGATATAGCGCCAGGGCCAGCGAGCTCGGCCGTCCACCAAGAACCGGATGTTCCCGCCACGTCCGGGCCGGGAGCACCATGCTGTGTTGGCGCCATGCTCAAAGTCCGAGACGACGAGCTAGGTAAGGCATGAAATTTATTTTCAAAGGGAACAGCGTATGTAATGAAACGATGGCGCGTAGGCGCCTGTCGGAGAGGGAGGACGCGCTGGACGAACTCTGAGCGCGCGCCTCTACGGCCCTGCAGGCCAGGTGCGGTACATTTTTAGGCCCTCACTCCAACGTTCGGCGCGGTCCCGCTGGCGCCGCTCCTGCTCATGCGCTGGGGTACAGCGAGGGTCGTTGGCCTGCCGTTCGGTCCGGCAGTCGTTGTATACCCAGCGGAAGATGCCGGCTGGGGTATACTGCGTAAAGGAATACCGCCGCTCCCCAGGCTGGATCTTGACGTTCGAGTGGCGGAGAATCGCAGATGGAATGAGGACGGTCGAGCCTGGGGGAAAGCGGACCACTAATTTGAGATCCCATAGGATCAAGTGGCCGCCGCGGTCAGGATCAAACGGCCCCAGCGCGGTGATGGCGCACCAGCCCCACGCCAAATTGCCGAAGTCGATGTGGGGGTACGTCGCCGTGCAGGGGCCGAAGTTGAACGTCGCTGTTGCGAAGACGGATAGGGCGCGCCTGAAATTCCGCTGCAGGTGCTTGGCACGCTTCTGCGCACCGTCCCATGCAAAAAGTTCGTCCAGCGTCCGGGTGTAGTAGCCGTGCAGGGCGGGGGCAAAGCCCATGAAGAGGACTGGACGGAGCAACGGACGTCAGCAATTACGTCTGGGAGGGGGCGCTGAGGTAACTTGCCGTTCGTCCACCCGGCGATCCGCTCGAAGCACTGAAGCCCGAAAAGGCGGGAAAACGTCGCAAGGCGGGCGGGCAAATGAGATAGATTCATCGGATAGGACTGCCCACCGCCCATCGCCGGGCCCACGTGCTCTGCCGCATGGGGGCCACGGCGCGGTACATTTGCTGCCGTTGTCGCCGCCTTCCTGCGCCATTTCGACTCGGTATACACCTCGCACGCTGCGGCCTCCATGGCGCTCGCCGCTTCGGCTGCAACGGCGCCCGGCCAATCCGGCGCATTGGGCGGAAACCCGCCGAGGACGAGCATGACGCGGCGGTCGCGATCGATGACTGGCCGCGGGGTCCTGAGGCGGCGTCAGGCCGTCGGACGGTGACGGCGAAGGGGCGTGGACTCACCCGTCCCACTCGTAAAGCTCAAACTCGGGGTCACGCTCAAAAAGCTCCCCGAGGTCATAGGCGCGGGCGTCGGGCTCGTCCTGCCGCACGCCCATCCACCCTGAGGATGACACGGGCAGCGGGTAGTGCGCCATGTCAAAGTCGAGCTCCAGCTCGACGGGTTGCGACTGCCGGACGGGCAGGGCTGCTACGCCCTTCAGCATCGAGCCGCTCTTAGCGCGGCGCTCCTCGCGCCCTTCACGCCGGACGCGGCGTTGATTTGCGCGCTTCTTAACGCGCTGTCGCTCGACGACCGCTGCACGAGTGGGCTTGAGCTGACGTTGCGCGGTGGCAAGCCGGGGCGGGAGGGCGCAGCGGATGAAGCGCCCGAGGGTAGGGGGGGGGGGGCGGCGGACTTTCCCACCAGGTGCGACAGGTCGGCGGTGGGTACACCCAGTCCAGGTATGGGCCCGGGGCGCCGTAGTCAAAGGGGACGTTGGGGCGGGTGGAGTCGTTGCTGCGGGCGGTGTCGTCCTCGGGGTCCGCCGGGGTGGACCTGCGCCGGGGAATGGCGTGTGCCTTGGGGGCCCCATCGTCTGAGTCGCTGTCGGAGCCATCGAGTGACTCGTCGTCGGAGTCGGGCGTAGTCGCCGAGCGCCGTGCCAAGAGCTCCCCAACGCTGACGCGCTGTACCTGGAGCGGGTCGGCCGTGTCGAAGCTGAAGGGGCTGAACTCAGCCCCGGAGCGAGTGGATCGACCTAGGAGGAGGGGGTGAGCTTGGTCCGGCCGAAGCCCTGGGCCTCGCGCTTTCGGCCGCCTCCAGGGTCGGGGCGGCCTATTGACGCGCCCGCGTTCCGCATCTCCAAGGTCGGAGGCGCGTAGTTGCGGTTGCCCACTTTCCGCGGCGTACCCAATGGGTAGCGCGTACTAATAGGGCAAAGGCTTCGAGCAAGGTGGGCGTGGCTTACCCGACATTGCGCTGGCGCTGTGCGTCTTGGGCGCGCGGCAGGGGGGTGGTTGGGGCCTCTGGTTTGTAAGGGCGCAGCCCTATAAAGGCTGGCAGGGCGGGAGTTTGTGCCATCCCGCTCGATTGCCTTGGCGGATCTGACGCGGATGTAAAGCTTGTTTGAGTGACGATGCAGATCGACGTCGGAAGCAAAGCTTGAGCAAAAGGCTTCAAGGGTTGAAGTTGAGGCCTTGAGGGAGGGGTTGCGCGGCAAGTGCGCCAGCGTCGGGCTATGGCGCAGGCGGCAAACACAGTCAAGTGGATGCGTCTTAGCAGGTTTGCGCCCTGATGACATGGACCGGGATGTGCAGCTCTGGTGGCTAAGTGGTTGAAGCTACAGCACCATATAAAGTTTGATCAATTGAGTCCGCTGCAATCGTGGGTTCGACTCCCGCCCAGGGCATCCCTTTTGTGACTTCCCTGTTGCGTTTATTTATTTATTTATTTTTCCTTGCTTTGCATCTCTAACCATTGACAGATTAGGAGGATCTCCCAATGGACCCAGAGCTTAGTTGGTTGAGCCGCGCCCTTCGATTCGGGTGTCCGTTGTATTCCGATGGCGTTGGTGAGGGTTCGAATCCCTCGGGGTTCATATTTTACATTTTCGTGCCCGGGAAAGGCCGAGACAAACAAGCAGTCTCAAATACCTTGAAGTCTTCAACGGCAGTGAGCTGTGATGGTTCGAGACCGCCGCCGCAAACGACTCGCCACTTCAACTCCCGGCCCCAGCGGCAGCGGGTATATCCACGCGGGCTCTGTCGCGGAGTTCGCGCCAAACGTCGAGGACGCCCCCGTGTCCACGTTCATTGAGCGTGTCTCCTCCGATGGCAGACGTGTATACCGCGAGTCTCTGCCCCTCCCCCCTCCATCTCCAGTGAAGAAGCAGCGGCGTGCAGCCGCCTCGGGGATCGCCGACGGCTCCGCCTGGGACACCTGCGACGTTTTTGACTGGGGGGGCGAGCGATACCGACTGGATGACGGCGGAGAGGAGGGCGCGCATCCACGCGCGCCGGCTCCTCACAAGCCGATGAGGACTCCTCGGGTGGTAAAGCCTGCGGTACGTCGCCTTTATCTGGGCCCCAATTTGCATACCGATGCTTCGCAGGACCCCTCACTCGACAAGTGGGCGCGTGAGCTACGGGACCTATATCTCTCGGAGTTCATGCGAATGGATGGGCCTGGCCACGCGGATCTCGAGCAGTGCCCCGGATGTGGCGGGAAGTCGAAATTGCGCCCGCGGTTCCGCTGCGGCGACTGCCACGGGCAAGTTCTCTACTGCCGCGACTGCATAGTGAAGAGGCACCTCGAAAATCCCTTGCACCGTGTTTGGGTGCGTCGGGCCTCTCTCGGCCATGCATCTGAATAACTGAAGCCCTGCAGAGCTGGGACATACGGCAAGCAGCCGCTCAAAGACGTTGGTTTGCGGGTGCAGCTCGGCCACCTCCCGCATGAGCGCTGCCCTGGGCCCGAGGCGGCCAACTCCGGCTTCGTGGCCCTCCATACCAACGGGATCCACGAGGTTGCCGTGGATTTCTGCGGATGCGAGGGCGCGTCCAGCGCGGGCCCGCACAACGTGCAGCTCCTCCGCGCCGGCTGGTTTCCTGCGACCGACGAGCGGCCACAGACATGTGCCTCGCTGGCCGTGCTGGAGAAGTTCCACCAGGACACTTTGCAGTCGAAGATGACTATGTACGACTTCTACGGGGTGTTGGAGAAGCTTACAAATAACACGGGCGTGAAGCCGCCCGACCGCTATCACGAATGGCTCCGTATGTGCCGGAAGTTTCGCCACATTATGATGCTGAAGCGCGCTGGGCGCGCAGCCGCATACTCGACCGGAGGAGTGTTTGGTACGGGGCCGGGCGAGCTGGTGCTGCAATGCCCGGCGTGCCCGCGGCCCGGGGTCAATCTTCCAGAGGGTTGGGAGGACGCGCCCCCTGAAATGCGGTACGCAGCTTGGGAGGATGGTGCGGACGGGGCTGATCTAGCCACTTAGCTTCCTCTATACCCTGTTTCTCGCCCTCGACGCCTGCTTCCGCCTCACAAGGCGCCTGGTTTCAAGCGAGCTGAGGGACCCCGATCTCAGCCCGGGCTGGGGTCACTTGGTTGCGACGACGCCGTACCGCGAGTTCCTGCGCTCGGTGACGGATCAAAAGGAGGTAAGGCCTTGCCTTGCTGTGCTATGCTGCGGTTCAGGGCCGCATTGCTCACCTTTGGCTGCAGATGAATACGTGCAGCGGGCTGGCCGCGCTTGATTATGCAAACACGAAATTCTCACGGGGGTATAGCACAACGGGCGTAGGTATGGGTGTTTGTGCTCGTCATGAGTTTGTGCAGCCGAACGGCGTCGGCGATCTCCAGAAGGGAGAACGGTACGTCGCGCACGGCGTTTGGAAAGGCTGCCACTGACGCCTAACATCAGCTTTGCCAACATGGACTACATTTTCGCCAGTATACTGAAGCATAAGCACGCGGGTCTCCGCAAGCTGATCTCCTACGACATTGTCTGTATCTGGATGAAGCACCTGCTGGAGCGCCTAAAGAAGCTTCCTGCCAACGTCAGGATCGAAATCGTACGCACGATGATGCGCTTCGCAATCCCGAAGATGCATATTCATGGCCACACGCTGCTCTGCCAGCTACTCTTTTCTCTCAACTACCTCATAGGATGCGCGGAGACCGACGGCGAGGGCATCGAGCGGCCCTGGTCTACGCTTGGCGCTGTGGCGGCGAGTACGCGCGACATGGGCCCCGGCTCGCGCCATTGTGTTCTGGATTGTCAGTTGGGGTACTGGAACTGGCTAAAGCTGGTGGGGATCTGTAAGTCCTTTGGTCTGATTACGATATGTATACTCCACTGACGCCTCCGGAAAGTCCTAACCTTGCGCCGGCGAATGGATCGGGCCAAGGCGGAGCTGGAGGAGCAGACCGAGACGTTCGAGGTTTTCTCCGAGCAACAGCGTGAACGGGTCCCCGCGTGGAAGCAGGCGGTACTTGACTACGAAGCCGCTTACGAGACGCAGCCTGACGCTGAGCTGCCAAGCCCGTATGACTTCACGGTGAAAGGTGCGACCAAGGATCGGTGTATGGGCTTGAGCTGATATGTTGCAGGCTTGACTGAGGCACAAGTGCGGCTGCAGTTTGCGGAGGAGGAGGCAGCCGAGGCAGAGCGCGGAGTGCCGTCGATTCACGACGTAAGCCCAAGCACGTTTGTGGCGGCTGGATTGGACGTGGAGAATGAGCAGTATGTGGCTGTTCTGAGCGTGTCTGCGGAGCTGACGAAGCGATCAAGGCGCCGTGTCCGCGTCCACGCTGAGCTCAAAAAGGCGGGGACTATTGTGATGCAGACAAGCATGAAGCGGCTCCGCGCGAAACTCAATCGATCAATCATCCGATTTCGCAAACTCCAGAAGACGTATATGCCCGCGGCATTTCAAGCGCTAGCGAAGAGGGATTTGCCTGCTACAACTCTGGCTGAGGAGGTTCCGCTGATGCTGCCCTCATCGCTTACGGAGGAGGAGCGAGCGCGCTGCGTCCCTGGGCTCGGCCATATTGAAGCGCTTCTGCGTGACGCCCAGTGTCGGACGGCGCTCGTCGGCCTGCGCTGCAAGCTTCATGTGAAGTCGCGGCTCTTGACTTCCAAGAAGAACCACGTTCGTCACCAGGGGCCGAACACGAGGGCACGAACCATTGTCACGCGAAACGAGGTCAAGGTCCGCCTCAACTCGGAAAAATATCAATGCGCATGGGAGGCTTTGCGGCTGCTCTACGGCGGGGACGAGCGCAAGGTCGGGTGGCGGGCGCTGCGTCGCCCTGATATCCGATGCATGGAGGATTCGGAGGATTTGAGGAGGAAGGAAAGGCGGCGGAAGGCGGGGCTCAAGCGGCGGCGCGTACGGGACCAAGAGTTGCGCGATCACGGGCTGCTCGATGCTGAGAAGGATGATGACATGCAGTGGGAGGATATCAATGGCGAGGAGCAGGGGGAGGAGGAGCGCGGGCCAGAAAACGAGCGCCAGGTGTCGTGGATTTGGACGGCGGCAGGGACAACTGGGTCTGACGCCGACCTGGACGACGGTAAGCACGGGATGTTGCTCCCCTGGATCAGGCTTTGATGTACCCGCAGCGCTGCGCGTAGAATGGTGCAAAGCCTTTTCGCGCACCCGTCGGTGGGGCGAGGAGATCCGCCTCTTGGAGGAGGAGTACCGGCGCGTGGGCGTCTCCTTCAACTATGAGGCGGATGTGTGGGAAGCGCGGGCAGCGGCGATTCGTGTGGGGGTTCTGCCTCTGGCCGAGGTGGAAGGCGCCCATGCGTATGCCCTGCGCCAGGCGGACATGTACCGGGACCTCAAGGCGCGCGGCGAGGTGCAGTGGTCTGCAGCAAAGCTGCCTAGGGGTCACAAGCGACCGCGTTATCTGGAGCAGTCCTCCATTGCGAGGGCGGCTGCCCTGCGGGAGGAGGAGCGGAGAGAGGCGGAGGCTGAGGCGGATCAATGGATGGATGTGGAGGACGACGGGGGGGCCGGGGACGCCGGAGATGTAGCAAGGGAGGGAGAGGACGCGGCCGATGAAGAGGACGATGAATTCGGGCACATTGAGAGTGACGAAGAGTTCATCATGGGGGGGGAGGGGTTTGACGACTAGGGCTAGGGCGCGCCAGCGTAGGCGGCGGTGGGCACAGGATGCGGCGCTCGGTTGGGTCCGGTCCGCCCGCCGGGCTTAGGCGCCGGGCGTGGCGTACGTGATGCGCTCGCGCAGCGCGCGCCTGTGCCATATGTGCTGGGACTGTCCAGCCATGGGCGCCGTGGAAGTACAGGTCCCTGCCCTGCGCGGGGAGCGCGTCGGCGCGATGCAGCGGGCGGGTGGCGGGAGTGCGGCCCGGGGGGACCGGGATTGACGGATTCACATTTGTATATACATCATATTATGTCCCTTTCCGTTTTTAGCTCAAGATCAATCATCACGGGTTTTTCCGGGCTTCGGCAAAGTCGGCGCGCTCGGCGCCAGGCGCCTTAGTGATCGGCGTGATGTCGGGTGATGGCGGACGAGGCAGGATGATGCCGAGGCACCTGCCGAAGGTTCAGGGGCGGTCCCAATTGCCATAAATAGGTGTCCCAGTGATAACGCATTACACCGGTGGGCCAGGGCCAGGCCAATAACCTGTTGTTATAGGCTCAGTGGGTGGATGTTCATCCTGACTACACCAATAGCGTGTGCGGTGACCGCTTTTAAGAGGCCGGTGGTCCTTGACACTGAAAATAGTTAGTACGTAGACATCATTTGCACTTGGTGCGTGATAACTCACGTCCACCGGTAGCCGCTGAGCTCCCAGATCTCTTTCGCAACCATTTCGACACGTGCGCGCGGAAATACCATCGGGTCTACGGCAATGAGGTATGCACCGTGAAAATCCACAGCGTGCTTCCCCTTGAATTCATCCCTCAAAGCTTCGCAGAAACTCTCGGCATCGGTGTAGGTCTCAGCCTGGCAACATTGAGTGAAGTCAAGTATCTGCCATAAAATCTCTAATACCTCACTGTCCTCTCTGTCCCCCGGCATGTCATCGTCCGAGTCGGCACCTTCACCCTCGGC